CAGAGGGATTAAAATGAAAAGTGTTCTCTGAGTTTAAAAGGTGCTCAATTTGAGGTGCTTAGCACCTGATTCTTAGTGTACGTAGCATTATATAGCACTTCAAGCACAGTTCCTAATGACTGCAGTTGCAATTATGAGTGCTTAGCACGTCTGCAAATCACACCTCAGCATATCAAGTTTGACACCCAGAAAATAAGGAATACACAATCTGGGTATGTCTGCACAGCAATTAGATACCCATGGCTGGCCTGTGCCAGCTGACTCGGGTTCGCAGGGCTCGGACTACAGGGCTGTTTCATTGCAGTGCAGATTTCCGGGCTCAGGCTGCAGCCCAAACTGTAGGACCCTGTGAGGTGGAAGAGTCCCAAAACTTGGGCTGCAGCCTGAGCCTGGAAGTCTACACTGCAATGAAACAGCACCGGGAGGCCAAGTCAGCAGGCATAGGCCAGCTGTGGGTTTTTCTTCACAGTGTAGACCTATCTTAGTGACCACCTGTGAAAAATCTGGTTTATGTGACTAGTCTAGCATCACACAGGAACTCTGTGACAGAGGCAGGGATAGAATCCAGGTCAGCATTCAGCTGCCTTAACCATGAGACTGTTTTTCCTCTTCCTGCAATTCCCTGCCTCAGCTTCCCTCTTCCTCTACAAGTGAGGCAAGGGATCCTGTCAATAGTCTCCTTCACTATATAACCCTGCGCATGTCCATCCTTGCAATGAACAAGGCAGGGACCTGTGGAAAAAACAGTATGTGATCTGTATCATATTGCCTAAGTAAAAGGGGGCTGAATCTTAATTCTGGCATATCTTAACTTTTGACTGTTTGACTTTTCAGCTTTAATGCTCTGTTAATGTAGTTTTTATATGTAATTTCCTCTGTGTTTAAAAAAGCAAACCAAAAAAAAATCAAATGCCATTATGTGGCTTATATTGATGTCCACGTGGGTTGTCAGCAGAGTTGGAACCTCTAGATCCATCACACAGATCTCTGCCATTTGTGCTTATGGAATAACTAAGAGCAATAGTAGGTTGTCGTCTTCTATGTGGACACACAGGAGAGGGATGAGAGACACTCTGCCAGGGGGTTTCCCAGATGTTGCTGACAGCAGAGGAATGGTGAAACTCATGAATCTTGGGTTCTATTCCAGGCTTTGGGAGGAGTATTTTCTTGTGGGCACAGACACTTCTTTCTCTTTCACCTCACCTCTCCTCATCCCACCCCAAACTTGATGCTTTCTGTCGTGGTCCCTCCAACCTGTCCCAGTCCTGTCTCTTTCCTGCCTGGGGCTCCTTGTCCTTGTCCCCTACACCTTGCTGTCCCAGTCTGTCTCCACTCCTCAGGGTTTTCATCCCATTTTCAATCTCCCTGCCCAGCCAGTCCCAGTTCTCCCCTGCACCCTAGCTCGTTGGCTGATCTCAGTGTCCTCTCCATCCCTGGACAATTGGCTCCCAACTCCTCATCCTCATTTCCACCATTGGCTCCCAGACTCCTTCCTCCCACCAAATCCCAGTGACAGTTTCTATTCCTCTCACTTCCTCCCTCTCTCCTCCATTCCAAATTGATCCTTTGCATTTCTTCCTCTCCCCCACCTCCAGTCTGGTTCTTGTACCCTGTGCATTCAAGTCAGGTGGATTCCTCCTCCATGCTGTGTGGGTACCAGACGAGGAGCATTATTGAGAGTACAGAAGAGAGAAGCCCCTGGTTGTCATTTCTGCTGCCCAACTCCACTCCAGCTGAGAATAGCAGCAGTTGCAAGGAAGGTCCAGCTCTGCCCCTGTAGTTCTGGTGGATTATGCTCTGTGCAGATGGTGGACAGTCTGGTCAGGACTAAGAGCTGAGAGGCTCGAGCATGCTTGGTGAGGATGGAATGTTCGGGGAGTTTAGCGACTAAAATCTAAATCTCTAGAATTTTTTTTGTACAGTTTATTTTCATAGACTTATAACTTGGCCAAATTTAGGTGGCAAAAGGCATATCTCTCGCACAAAGGACAATCCCTGCCAAATTTCAGGTACCTGCTTCAAAGCCTGGCACAACCACTTTTTATCGACAAAGTGGCTAGAATCTTTTAACATGGGCAAAATAACATTTTTTCCTTGCCGAGTTCTCAGAAATGACTAAACTGTTCTGACTTTAAAACTCCAAAAAAAAATTCAGCACGAGGTAGATACTTAGTATGGAAAACTTCAGCAGAAATGGTAAAACTTTGGCAAAGTTATAAATAACTGAAAACAAGGTCTTATAATGAGAAGTGTTGGCCAACCTTCAAAAAGGCAGAGCCACCAGTTCCACCTGTAATATTTTTATGAATTAATTGGTATTTCTGTTTGTACTTGCATTGTCTTTTGGCAGTCACATATTGAGGAATAGCATACTGGGGTTGGGATTGAGGGAGTTGAACTGCTTCCCCTCATACAAAATTTTGCAATATGCATCTTCACATTTGCCAGTGCAAATACTTTTATCTGGGGGAGGGGGAACCAAACCTTCAGTCCTCTGTGGAGAAAGAAGTGGTTCAGGACTATTTAGAAAAGCTGGACGAGCAGAAGTCCATGGGGCTGGATGCACTGCATCCAAGGGTGCTAAAGGAGTTGGCGGATGTCATTGCAGAGCCATTGGCCATTATCTTTGAAAACTCATGGCGATCGGGCGAGGTTCCGGATGACTGTAAAAAGGCTAATGTAGTGCCCATCTTTTAAAAAGGGAAGGAGGAGGATCTGGGGAACTACAGGCCAGTCTGCCTCACCTCAGTCCCTGGAAAAAATCATGGGCGATCAGGAACAGTCAGCATGGATTCACAAAGGGCAAGTCATTCCTGACTAACCTAATTGCCTTCTATGATGAGATAACTGGCTCTGTGGATAAGGGGAAAGCAGTGGACGTGTTATTCCTTGACTTTAGCAAAGCTTTTGATATGGTCTCCCACAGTATTCTTGCCAGCAAGTTAAAGAAGTATGGGCTGGATGAATGGACTATAAGGTGGATAGAAAGCTGGCTAGATTGTCAGGCTCAGTGGGTAGTGATCAATGGCTCCATGTCTAGTTGGCAGCCAGTATCAAGACGAGTTCCCCAAGGGTCGGTCCTAGGGCTGGTTTTGTTCAATATCTTCATTAATGATCTGGAGGATGGCGTGATTTGCACCCTCAGCAGGTTTGCAGATGACACTAAACTGGGAGGAGAGGTAGATACGCTGGAGGGTAGGGATAGGATACAGAGGGACCTAGACAAATTAGAGGATTGGGCCAAGGAAATCTGATGAGGCTCAACCAGGATAAATGCAGAGTCCTGCACTTAGGAAGGAAGAATCCCATGCACTGCTACAGTCTAGGGATCGAGTGGTTAGGTAGCAGTTCTGCAGAAAAGGGGTTACAGTTGAGGAGAAGCTGGATATGAGTCAACAGTGTGCCCTTGTTGCCAAGAAGGCTAAACGGCATTTTGGGCTGTATAAGTAGGGGCATTGCCAGCAGATCGAGGGACGTGATCATTCCCCTCTATTTGGCATTGGTGAGGCCTCATCTAGAGTACTGTGTCCCGTTTGGGCCCCAAACCACAAGAAGGAAAAATTGGACAGAGTCCAGCAGAAAGCAACAAAAATTATTAGGGGGCTGGAACATGTGACTTACAAGGAGAGGCTGAGGGAACTGGGCTTATTTAGTCTGCAGAAGAGAAGAGTGAGAGGGGATTTGATAGCAGCCTTCAACTACCTGAAGCGGGGTTCCAAAGAGGATGGAGCTAGGCTGTTCTCCGTGGTGGCAGATGACAGAACAAGAAGCAATGGCCTCGAGTTGTAGTGGGGGAGGTTTAGGTTGGATTTTAGGAAAAACTTTTTCACTAGGAGGGTGATGAAGCACTGGCATGGGTTACCAAGGGAGGTGGTGGAATCTCCTTCCTTAGAGGCTTTTAAGGTCAGGCTTGACAAAGCCCTGGCTGGGATGATTTAGTTGAGGATTAGGTCCTGCTTTGAGCAGGGGGTGGACTAGATGACCTCCTGAGGTCTCTTACAACCCTGATATTCTATGATTCTATGAAACCTACTTTAACCCTAATTTGACTGCAAATGGGTTTTAAAAGAATTCTTTTACACCAGAAAAAGTGAACCATTAAATGGATTCACTTTTCACAAGTGTATAGACTGGCATTTTAATGTTTAGACTGGACATGTATCAATGTAACTAATAGTCTTCTGTTTGCTCATCATTTTTCTTAATCACCTAAATTCAGTTCTAAACATATGAAAGTAGGAGACCAATAGTACCAGTCTGAGCCAAGAATGACATTGGCAATGCTGTGCAATCTTTCCCATACTTTTGTTAATGTATTTCAGCCAGCATTTGCACTCCTGCTTTTCTAGTGGTGGACATCTAGAGCCAAAGAATATGTTTTGATGAATTTTGTGGGCAAATTAAGATTATTTATTTTTAGATCAGTTTTGTAGCAGCATAAATTGAGAAAAAATTTGAAACCTGAGGTCTCATTAGGGAGCCTTTAAATCCATTTAATCTTCCAACTGCATTAATTCCTTACAGGCAACCTGTTTCGTAGTCAGACCGTGAATGCCAAAGCACACTTGTTTTTTAAACAATTACTTTTTCAGTTTAGTTTTATTTACTTAATAACATATGATCTTCCACACTGGATCAAACAGTGGCCCATTGAGTCCTATATGTTATCTCCAATAGTAGCTAGTCTTGGCTGCTTCAGAGAGACAAAATCTGCAGTAGGCAGTTATGGGATAACTAGTCCCCAGGGCATTATACTTCTGGCTCCCGAAAGTTAAAGTTTGGTTTATGCCCTGAAGTTTGAGTGTTTATATACCTTTCAAAATTCTTGTTTACTTTACTTTTGTAACTTAGGATATTCTTGTTATTCATATACATATCTAATCTTGATAAGAGTAGAATCCTGATAAGCTCTTGGCCTCAACAATACCTTGAATTTGAATTCTTATGATGTACGTTGTTCTGTACATAGTAACTGATGTGGTTTTGATGTCCTTTCTTAGAAGCAAGATCAGCTGCAAGATGAAGAGGAAAAAAAGAGCTCCTGGGTTAGTCAGGAGCGACAGAAAACACTGGACAGACTTCGCACGTTTAAACAGGTAACAGAAGTAATGACCACTCTTCTTCATCGTGTAGCATTTATTTTTTAAAATATGCTTCAGTTATATTCTGGTAATATCCTGAGAGAGATCTGTTCTTCTTTAAATACTTAAAGCATTCATTTTGGGAATAGGTGTTAAAATTCCCATAGTCTAAGATTTAAGCGGAAATAAGGTACAGCATTAGATAAAATTCTTTGGATGTTTTGCAGCATAGTTCTGTGCTTAACCTCCATCTTCTCAGTTTCTCTCCTGTTAATATTTACAGGAAAATAATCAGGAACTGAAGCAGGGTCTTTCCTTTCCTTATATAGATATGATCCAGGTGCTGTTTGCACATGTATTGGATCATGTGACCTGTTGTTTGCAATACCATAGTACCTAAAAGTCCCTGTCTCAAAGAGCTTACAACCTAATACCAGACAAGAGATAACAGATGGGTGCAGACGGGAGTACAAGAAAATGACACAATATTAACTCCTTTTAATGGTTCCTGGCCTATGCATCTAAGACTGAACAAGTAATAAAATTGGAGAATTTCTATTAGCAAGAAATCTTGTTTAGTAGTGATATAAAAAATGAGTCTTTCCACCCGAATTGCTTGCAAGGCTGCTAGAAACTTACAGCTTCTATACACTAGTAAATTCACAAACTGAAGCAATAGGATATTAATCAAGTAATTAATGGTTACATTATGTATAGTATATCCATATGGATAGGATCTATGTAGCTTTGTAAAAATGTTATGTTTTAAGTCATTTGTGGTAATTTAAAAAAAAAAATACACATTTGGCCCAGTTTTCAAAAGCAGCCTTTAATTTCACCTTCAGCAGTTTGTATGCACAGTTGCAATTTGAAAGGACACAAACTGGGGGGGAAGGAGGGGCAAATACAATAGCAAAAAAAAGAACAAAAATAGCAAAATAAAGAACAAAAAAAAGTGAGTTTCCTTGTCACAAAGGCAAAATCACCTGATCACATGTTCTTTAGTTTCTAGTATAGTATATTGCATACACTGATCTAATTTTAAATAACTGTTTCCTTTTAGCGGTACCCTGGGCAAGTAATACTTAAATCAACCAGACTGCGACTGGCACATGCAAGAAGTAGTAGTACACCCAGCTCAGTGCCCTATGTAGATCAACCTCAATCTCTGCCAGTAACCACACAGATCCAAAAGAAAACTGAGGACGTGGAACTGGGAAAAGTAATCCAGCCTTTACAAACCCAGGAGCCCAGAAGCTTAGAACAACCTGAAGATAGTTCGTTACCACCCAATGGCATTACCTCTGAACTGTCTCATCATACTACTCCTCCACTTCTTGCCAGTAATGAGCTTCAGCCAGATACTGTTACTGTAGTTCCACTTCCGCCTCCTTTGCCGCCACCGCCACCACCGCCTCTGCCTATCAAGGAAGATTCTACTGAATCCTTCGAGAAAAGTGACAGCCCTGTTAAACAAGAGAGTGAGGATAAGGGAGTCCCGCAGTCTACCACTGTCCCATCAGCACATCTTTTTGATAGCAGTCAGTTAGTCAGTGCCAAGAAGAAACTTAAGAAGACCGATCTAGAGGGTTTACAAAGGAGGAGAGGTAATATTTTTGTTTATATTTATTTAAACATAATTAACTGCTAAGGAATGTACTTGTAGTCATTTTGTTTCCCCCTTTTTTGATTGCTGTGTAGAAAAGGTTATGTTGGATTTTATATATAATTATCAATACAACACTTGTTTTAATGCCCTTGACTGAAAAGTTTGGTGAAATCAAGTGGTGGGAATTTGTACTGTAGTGTATGCTGTTGATTCAGTTATATCTAACTCCACATAAACTGCAAATTGTACTTGAGGATGCAGTCTGTTTTTCAGTTGACAGACATTACATAACAGACGTCTTTAGATCAGACCTGGGTGCAAAAACTTCTGCAGTATACAAAAATTAAATTAATTGTAGTACTTACCTTATCTGTCTCACTCTGCCACCTTTGTGTATCCTTTCTCTTCCCACCAAACGAGTTAGTGTGGGCAGCCTTGAATAAACCCCCACAGATTGCTAGTTAGAAATTAAATAAACATTGAGACATAGGTGATGAATTTTAAAATTTTAGTACTTAATTTTCATTGTTTCCTCTGGGAAGCATGGGAAAACAGTCTTTCCTTACCAACTTGGGTTGGAATCCTTGCTCCAAGAAGTCGATAGGAGTCTTCCCATTGACTTAAATAGAGCCAGGATTTCACACTTTGTACTTTTCATTTAGCAAACTTAGTTTTCTAAAATACCTACCCTTCTGGCTCTGTGCCAGTACTGTGATTTAATTAACCTTAACTAAAAGTGTGCTGAGAGGTAGTCAGACATAAGTGAAGCTCCTTTTGTTCCTCATGCACAGAGCATGCTTTTAACTTCTCCTACCACAAAAGAATTCTCTACTATTGTAAGCGCACAAAAGCCCTGATCCTGCAAGGATGTCTATGTGTGGAGACCCATGCACCTGTGCAGCTTTCTATTGAAGTCATCTATGCCCCAGAGCTCTGGCTGCATGAAACTCCATGTCTAATATACCCATGTGTTTGTAGGTGGGATGATCCTTACTCTCTAGAATTCTGTTTTACATCGATTTTAGGGATTGCAAAATCTGTGCGAAATAAATTTGTTTAGTATTAATATGGAATCTCACTAATGCCTCAGCGGTTAATTCTGTAACTTGTCTGTTTTTAACTCCCTTTTTGGCTTTTTCCAAAAACTTCTTTTGGACTGAAATTCTTAGTGGTCGGTCTGAAGCTAGAAAGGAAACTTTTGGGACAATTGAAGTATATTAGTCAAGCTTAAAGCTTAAAACATTTTTCAATGTTTGGAAAATGTCCTCAAAATTTTGCAAAAAGAAAAGGGGTACTTGTGGCACCTTATTTGAGCATAAGCTTTCGTGAGCTACAGCTCACTTCATTGGATGCATACTGCATACCCAGTACCGAGTTCACCCAGAGCTCTAGACTTGCCAATGACTTCCTGCCACATACCGCCCTTTCTGTCATCTGAGTCAAAAAGTGAGCAAGAGGACCTGGCTTCCCGCCTCTCTTCTCACTTGCCATACAGAGCCCAGTTCTGCTATGGACATTGGGCACACTGCCCCTCTGACCCACAGCCTTCCTGGTTTGGGCAACTGTGGTACCGACCACTGGGCCCCTTCCCATCACAATAGCCATAGAGGGACCCTTGGGGGCCTGATGCCTTTGGGCCTGCCATTACCTCTACTGTGGCCTTCCAGCAGCCAAGGAAGTACCCTCCTTCAGCTGCTGCCTCAAGGGCCTGTGAACCCCCCGAGCATCCCAGGGAGGAACTAGAGGCCAAAGTTGAGGAGGAAGTCACTCCTCAAGCCCACTTCTTGTCATTGTCACCAGACAAGACAGCGATGTCCCCCTGCCATCAATGGTGGATGACTTTAAACTGTACCAAGACTTGGCACGGAGGGTGGCAGAGGCACTACAAGTACCGCTATAAGAGGTGACTGGATGAATAACACCACAAGCTGGTGGACATTGTACATTTCTCCACCTCTTCCAGAGTGGCCATCCTATTAATGATGCTCTGCTGGACCCCCCCAAGGAGATATGGCAGACCCCTGCATCCACTCCACCAACTTGCGAGCGGGTGGACAAGAAATATTACATGCCACCAAAAGACACAGAATTTCTGTTCTCACACCTACCTCCCAATTCGATCATTGTGGATGCAGTTAATTCTAAGGGCTGCCAACACCCAGTTTAAGTCCACCCCTTATGACTGGGACTGGAAGTGCCTAGACCTTTTTGGCAGGAAGGCTTACTCCTTGGCCAGCCTCCAGTTCAGAGTGGCAAACTATCAAGCCTTGTCTACATATGACTATCAGAGCTATGCAAAGCTTAATGATTTTATTGAACAGCTCCCCAATTCTCATAAGCAGCAATTTAAGGCCTTAGTCAATGAGGGCCAACTGGTGGCTAAAACATCTCTCCAGTCTGCACTCAATGCAGCTGACAGGGCAGCTCATTCTACCTCAATTGCCATTGTGATGAGATGGGCCTCATGGCTTCACCTATCCCTCTTCCCAAAGGTGGTCCAACTGACTGTGGAGGACCTCCCTTTTGAAGGGATGAAATTATTTGTCGATGAGACTGATGCCTCCCTCCAGACATTAAAAAATTCAAGGTCCACTCTTCGATCCCTCATGATCTGTACGCCTGGGTACAAAAGAAAGTACAGCACTCAGCCAGCATTCAAGCCTCTCTCATCGCAATACTCATCTCAATATTCATTTAAATATTCACAGAGATCTTGTGAACCCCAGAGGAAGAAGCCCAGGTTCCCAAATAGAAGGCGTCGGGATCTCAGCAAATTTCCTCTCAACCCTCTCACCTCGAAGAGACAGTTTTGAAGGGTTGGTCGAGGTGCCCGTAGAACACTCTCCTCACTGCTGCATCACACTGGAAAACCCCACCCATCCCTTTGGCGACCATCTCACTCTATTCCTCAGCACCTGGGAACAGATAATCTCTGACAACCGGGTGCTGGAGATCATCTGGGATGGATACTCCATCCATTTCTCCTCCTTCCTTCCTCCATGATGGTTTGTGGACAACTCTACTGGAAAAGGCCTAACAGAAATGTTTATGAACGTTTTGAATGAGAATAAAATAAAGCTTCAGGATGCTGCGGCCAAGGCTACAGCAGTGGCGTGAACCTAAGGGGAAGAAACGGTGTCCAGGCAAGGATCCTTTTTGTGTGCCTTGTGGCTGCCATTCCCTCAACTTGGTTGTGTTAGATACAGTGTCATCATCTTTAGAATCAGTATCTCTCTTCAGAGTACTGCAAAGGATATGTCTTGTTTTCAGCATCAGCTGTCAAGTGCAAGATCCTCATGGACAATGTTACAAATCTGACTGTGAAGCGGCTAAGTGACGCTTGCTGGGAGAGCCACATTGACAGCATAAGGCCAGTGATGTACCAAATGACTGAGGTTTACAACGCCTTAATGGAACTGGTGCAGTTGAGTAAAGCTGAGGCCAGGATCTGACATAAGGCACAAAGCCTGACAAACCAGATCATTGATTTCAAATTTCTGGTCTCAGTTGTCATTTGGCACGATATCCTGTTCCAAGTAAATGTAAGCAAGGCATTACAAACTCAGTCCATGGACATCGTGACAGCTACTACTTTGATAAGAAGCTGCCTTGCTTTCGTTGTGGTCTACAGAGACAACGAATTCCAAGGAAATGTGGAAAACTTAGGAGTTGAGCCTGTCTTCAAGGAAACTCATATTTATCAGAAGAAAAGACAATTTGGTTACGAGGGCAGAGATAAGGTGATGGTAAGCTTGGAAGAAAGATTAAAGAGGGAGTTTTTTACTCACTCGTTGAAACTGCTTGAATGTCCATCGAAGAAAAGTTTGGACAAGTGAAGCCTCACAAAAAGACCTGGGGCTTTTTGTATGACCTCAATAAGCTGCTGGCAGACAAGAAAACACACTTGAACAATTTATATGGACCTTCACCAGACCCTGACACATGGGGAATGTTTGGATGTCAATGATAAAGACCTCTGTCAAACTGGACAACATCTGCCACATTTTGCAACACAGGAAGCACTCTCCACTTCAAGTTCTCCAATTCATTTATGATGCAGAGCTGAAAGAGACTTTTCCTAATGTCTGGATAGCTTTAAGGAGTCTTCTTACGCTGCTGGTCATAGTCGCAGGTCGTGAGCACTGTTCCCTGTAAGCTGTGTGCATGTGTGCGCGCCCAGACCCTAAACCCTGCGCACACAGTGAAACACCGCTTGCACAAAAATTTGCACAGAAGCAAAACAATTTGCACAGAAGAAATTTTTTTGCACACATGGCCTATCAAAAATTAGAGGGAACATTGGTGGTGAGTGCAGTTTTTCGAAGCTCAGGCTCATTAAAACATATCTTTTATCGACAGTGGCTGATGAGAAACTGACATCACTTGCTGTTTTGTCGCTTGAAAATGCCAGTGGCCAGTCTTTGGAGCTCTCTGACTACTGTGCTTCAGTTTGCGAGGGCAAAGGTGGAAAAAAGCGACCTTTTGAACTAAAGGACTAGGGTTAACATTCTAAGACTGTCACTTACTGTAACACTATTTAATACTGATCCACACAATATTGGTGCACAGTTCAATTTTTTATGTTAATACATTTCAGTTATTCCTAAAATTTAAAAGTTTCTATAAGCTTAGAGGAAATGAATTTTTTTTTATTTTCCTGTATGTGGCATGAATAAATTCAGATTTATGGATCCTAGCATGCAAATGTATTGTCTTTTATATGAGAGGGATAAATCATGCACTTAAATCGTGCATCAAAGCCATGAAATGGGCTACAAATGCAATAAAAAATAAGGTATTGAAAAGTTTAACAAGTGGAGGGGAGGGCGCTGAAGATAATCCTCACCTGGGGTGCCATTTGGTCTAGGCCGGCCCTGAAGACACTTACAGGTGTTGTCATCTGGTGAAAAATGAGAGTTCATAGAGCTTGTAACCACTGTCAGCTCTTCACTAAGAGAAGTGCAGCAGTTACAATATATGCAGTTACAATATATGCATAGGACTCATTAGTTATAAATTCTGCTTCTAGCCCTCTCTTGGTGAACTCAGTTGCCGAGTACTGTGCACCGGTGTGGACAAGAAACTGCCATACTCAATTTATGGATAGGCAGCTGAATAAGACCATGCAAATGATCATGGGAACTTTAACATCAGCACCTCTACCGTAGCTTTCAGTATTAGCAAACATCGAACCTTCAGCCACTGAGAGAGAGCTACAGCACAAGAACTTAACTGTGCCAAAGACTATCCAGAACTTCCCATCCAGCCAGGTTAACATACGTATGGATAACATACCCCAACAATACCTGAAATCGCAAAAACCACTATGGATCACATATGACTATCTCATTTCTCTGGATCCGGCCAGGGAATGGCAAAGTGTCTGGGTCTCATTTACCATTCCAAACAAGCACATTATTACTGACTCAACAAGCCGCCCTCCCGTTTCAACCCTCTACACAGACTTTAGATCACACTGAACTGCACCTGAACAAACCATGAAAGGTGCAGCTATCCTTGATACATAAGTGGAAAACCAAAGACTCCCCTTTTTGTGACTGCAGAGAGACCATCCAAACCATTGAACACCTCATAAGCAGATCACAAGCTTAGAATGTACCCTAATGTATTTGTCTTTACAAAAATCTGAGCTAGCTTGACCAGATTTGGGCAGATTTTCACAGAGGAGGAGGGACTTCAAAAGGCATATCTCTGACAGCCCAAGTCCCTGCTCCAAAGCATAGCAATGCTAGACCTTTCTTACGAAAAGCTCACTAGGTTTTGTTTTTTGCATAGACAAACAACATTTTCCCTCAGTCTTGTTCTCAGAAGCAGCTAAACAATTTTGGGTGAAATTTGCCAAAGAAGTTGAGCTTGAGGCAGACACCTGATATGGAAATTATCAACCCAAATGGTTGGTTTCACAGTTTATAAGCAACTGAAAACAGAACTTAATAATAGGGGCTACCAGTCCCATCTCTAATTGTATGTGTAATTTGATATCCAGTTATATATAAATTAGGGCTGTCAGTCACGATTAACTCAAAACAAATGTTAAAAAATAAATCATGATTAATCACACTGTTAAACAATAAATAGAATATCAATTTAAATTATAAATATTTTGGATGTTTTTCTATATTTTCAAATATATTGATTTCAGTTACAACACAGAATACGTGTACAGTGCTCACTTTATAGTATTATTTTTTATTACAAATATTTGCCCTATAAAAAGATAAACCAAAGAAATAGTATTTTTCAGTTCACCTCATACAACTACTATAGTGCAATCTCTTTATCATGAAAATGCAACTTAGTTTTTTTTTACGTAACCACACTAAAAAACAAACCTATGTAAAACTTTAGAGCTTACAAGTCCACTCAGTCCTACTTCTTGCTCAGCCAGTCTCTAAGACAAATGAGTTTGTTTACATTTATGGAAGATAATGCTGTTGTAGCCGGCATTGCAAGGTATTTATGTGCCAGATATGCTAAACATTCATATGTCCCTTCGTGCTTCGGCTACCATTTCAGAGGACATGCTTCTATGCCGATGATGCTTGTTTAAAAAAAATGCAATAATTCAATTTGTGACTGAATTCCTTGGGGGAGAATTGTATGTCTTCTGCTCCATGGTTTTACCCGCATTCTGCTATATATTTCGTGTTATGGTAGTCTCAGATGATGACCCAGCATATGTTGTTCAAGTTAAGAACATTTTCATTGCAGATCTGACAAAAGATAAAGAAGGTACCAATGTGAGATTTCTAAAGATAGCTATAGAACCTGACCCAAGGTTTAAGAAACTGAAGTGCATTCCAAAATCTGAGCGGGATGAGGCATGGAACATGCTATCGGAAGTCTTAAAAGAGCACACTTCAATTTGGAAACTACAGAACATGAGCCACCAAAAAAAGAAAATGTTCTGTTGGTGGCATCTGACTCAGATGATGAAAATAAATGTGCGTTGATCCACACTGCTTTGGATCGTTATTGAGCAGAAGCTGTCATCAGCATGGAAGCATGTCCTCTGGAATAGTGGTCGAAGCGTGAAGGGGCATACAAATGTTTAGCATACCTAACAAGTAAATACCTTGCAATGCTGGCTACAACAGTGCCATGGCAATGTCTGTTTTCACTTTCACGTATCATTGTAAATAACAAGCCGGCAGCATTATCTTCCGTAAATGTAAACAAACTTGTTTATCTTAGCGATTGGCTGAACAAGAAGGAGGACTGAGCGGACTTGTAGGCTCTAAAGTTTTACATTGTTTTATTTTTGAGTGAAATTATGTAACAAAAATTCTACATTTGTAAGTTGCACTTTCACGACAGAGATTGCACTACAGTAGCTGTATGAGATGAATTGAAAACTGTTTGATTTCTCTCTTTGACAATGCAATTATTTGTAATAAAAAATAATATAAAGTGAGCACTGTACACTTTGCATTGTGTTGTAATTTAAATCAATATATTTGAAAATGTAGAAAAATCCAAAAATATTTAAATAAATTGTATTCTGTTTAATAGCGTGATTAAAACTGGGATTAATCGTGATTATTTTTTAATCTTGCAATAAATCAGAATTTTTCAATTGTTTGACAGCCCTAATATAAATAAAAACATAAAAAGAAATTGCACACATTATATTGTGTAATAATATAAAAACTATAAATCTACCCTCTCCTCCCCAAGAGTATCTTTGACTTCTGCATCTGCACTCTCCCCACTAATTCATCTCCCATTGGATTTGTTTAACATTCTGAACTTCTACGTAGCTTCTGAAAGCTGAGTCTTTATAACGTTGATTTGCCAGAGAAACTTCACCCCTCACCCCCAAATGTGGGGCCCCATCACGGCAAATATATAAATAAATAAAAATGCTTGTCCAAAGCTCAGGATTGTTGAAATCCAGAAATGGATAACAAAGGATATCCTGATAATGTATTCCACAATACACTTAGGAGAATTGGAGAGAGTTTTTCAGCTATAGATAAATGTTTCACTTTGGATATGATATGCTGGTACATAGCTAGTTCCCATTGTTGTATTGAAAATACTATGCTGTTTTGTTTTTGTTTTTTGTCAACACACTTAATCCTGGCCTCTATCTAATCTGGAGACCTGCAAAGCCAGAATCCAGTTGAAATACTAAGTTTGTTTCACAGGGGAGTAAAGCTACAGGACTATAAAGGGCCCTCACTCTGTGCCTTAACATAGCTAAATTGCTGCACTGCTTGCTTTAATTGCTGGGGAGGGGAGCATTTGAGAAGGCTGGGATTAGTACTGTGCAAATCCACCGGCCAAAACCTCCACATTTCAGATTGGAGGTGAAGGAAATATATGCTGTTGCAGCTGACCACATCTGCTACTCCCGATGGCTTGTAGTAGAAGTCATGCAGTGGATACAAACCAGCTACCTCAGGCATGTTGTGAGAATTCAGTTTCTCCTCTGGTGCTTGCATTACACAGAGTATGCAGCCCAGTCAGTTAAGATATGTGCTCACTATCAGAGTTTCAGCCATGGGAAATAGACATCATAATGTATTTTGATTTTGTAACTCATTGTTTTACAGGCAGGAAAATTTACCTGCCAAAGTAGCCATACTGTATACCATATGCTGATGATGCTTGGTTTTCAGAAGTCATATTAAGGTGTTCACGGTACAAATATAATTTCTTCTTGACAGTAGAGAAAAATACAATTGGAGATAAAAACACCATTAGAAAGTTTTCAGAGGAACAGCCGTGTTAGTCTGTATTCGCAAAAAGAAAAGGAGTACTTGTGGCACCTTAGAGACTAACCAATTTATTTGAGCATGAGCTTTAGCTCACGAAAGCTCATGCTCAAATAAATTGGTTAGTCTCTAAGGTGCCACAAGTACTCCTTTTCTTTTTTCATTAGAAAGTTAGCACTTACCAACAGTTATATGGCGGTATCTAAAATACTACTGTTTTCCCTCTATTTAGGATGCAAAATTGCTGTGGTAACTACCCTTTGTCATATAGGAAATAAAAATGAAGATGCTGAAATGTGTAAATATCTTAAACTTAATACTAACTCAGTCTTTTGATTTGTTGCAGTGAGTTCCCCAATGGATGAGGTGCTGGCTTCCTTGAAGCGTGGTAGTTTTCACCTAAGAAAGGTTGAGCAGAGAAATCTCCCTCCTTTCCCCGATGAAGATGACGGCAATAACATCTTGGCACAGATAAGGAAAGGGGTGAAACTGAAGAAGGTGCAGAAAGATGTTCTGAGAGAGTCGTTTACAATTCTGCCTGACACTGACCCTTTAACACGTAGCATCCATGAAGCACTGCGAAGAATTAAGGAGGCGTCACCTGAATCAGAAGATGAAGAGGAGAGTTTGACTTGCACAGACTGGGAAAATTAACCTGTAAATTTCTTACATTTTTAAAAATTAAATTTTATTTTGTTGACACTTATTTAGGAATACCTCCTAAGCTTGGGCTAGAAAGTCTAGGAGACTTAGGAGTGTGCCTAAATCATCCAATATATATAAACTGGTAAAAATGTGAATATCTAATCTGAACCACTGGTATTTCAAAGGGAGTTAATTAAACTTCTTATAAGGGAAACATATTTCTGGGCTGTTGCCAGAAATTTTTTTTGTGAACATTTTTTGCTAAACCAGTGACAAAAATTGTCCTCACAAAAAACCTACACCTCAGTATATTGACGGGACTGTACCTTATAAGATTGAAAAGGGCTTTCAGAAATAATAATGCAACAAAATCACTCTTGAATATACCCCTACATTTACTAATGTCAAATGTTTTCTAATTGCTTCTGATGTGTAAAAATCCAGTGTATTTCCCGCTTGAAGCTAAATAATTACAAGTCAAAGAAGATTAGATTTGACTACTAAGCATATTGAAATCTTGTTGACTACCCTGTCTGTCTGTCTTTTTGGTGGCTGGCTTTTTGATAGCTTTCTTTCAGATCTGTGAACGGTCTGATTAGATTTCTAAACCATAAACAGTAAATATGCGAGTATAATTTACACCTCTGCTATGCATAAAATACCCCACAAATTTCCAGGCGTTATAGTTAGATGTGATACAAGAACAGAACTTAGACTTAAGATAGCTAGTTTTAATGAGTTCAGAACAATGTAGAAATAGCCAAGGAATTTTAGTTTTCAAGATTGTGGTGGTAGTCAAAAGACACAGATTCTTCTGTGCTACTCCTATGAACTGGACTGACAGAGTGCTGTATTTCTGGAGCAAATCTGCTGGTAGAACATGGCCATATTTAAATATAAATAAAAGGTTCAAATAAACGTATTTGTAAGTAAATAAAAATGTAAATCTAGATCAAGGAGAAAGGCACAAGTATCTCTAAAGAACTTATTTCAAAAACTTTCTAAGAAATGGACTCTCACAAGGTGTATAGTGAGTTAAAGGGAATAAATAATACATATTGCATTCAAATTACATATAGTGGTAGCAAAAGACACCCCATTTGTATGTTAATAATTAAGCAGTAATGCATTCCAGGGATTGAGAGCTTTTGGGACACTGCCACAGCTGGGAAATGACATTTAGTGCAAGTACCACAGGTATTAAAAAGGGATGGTAGCCCAGCAAAACAACCAACCTGTAGTATTTTACTGTGATGACAAATCTTTATTAAATTAAAGCCAATTTAATTTCCTATTCTAAATTTTAAAAAAGGAAAATAGTTACCTGACACCTGCCTCAAAACTATTATTAACTTCACAATGATTGCAGGTTTGGGTCCCTCATGATTTCCTATGGCCATTGTTATAATCAAAGATGATGATGTGGGCTGAATTGCTTTTTTAGTGTGTTTATTCTTCTGTCACTCTTCTTAGACATTTGGTTTTATGTAATTGTTTTGTAAGCCTAATTGTGTCTCTTTGAATCTTGTTTTCCTCTTGGGAAGAATACCCTTTAATACCTCAGGATATTGTAAACTTTTTGCTTTCCTCAGAATCCTTCCCTTTTTTTTAATCTGAGGTATTGATAGGGCACCAGTTGCCATCATCTTTTGTAAGCTAACGTTACCTTAACCTTAAATACTCTCACCATGAGAGTATACTTTTATGGTCCTTTCCCTTGTTAAGGACACAATCCTGCCAAATGCTGAGTTTTCAACTTCTACTGAAATCAGTAAGTTGAAGGTGCTTAGAATTTTATGGAATTTGGACTCTAAGTTCTGTAGAGATTTATACACACATTTGGCATTTGCATTCTACCCCCCTCCAAACTCTGTTATCATAAAAATACTTCAGTGGGGTGTAATTGTTTAACTTACAGTTTTTTGATAGATTTGTAATGGTTTGTGTTTAAAAACAAACTAACTTACAAAAACTAGGCTATGCTGAGGAATTGTATGAACTAATCTAATTTCACGAGCAATAGACTGAAACATATGTAACACTATTCTCCTGAATTACTGTTGTTTTCACAGACATGACCCTACTTGATTGAATGTATAAATTGATTTAACAGAATTAATTACATAGTACTTCAAATAATGGTCTACTGCAGAAATTTCAGAGCATGTTTTGTAGTACAAGGAAATCAGTTTAATGCCAGGACCTGTTAAAAGGATGACATTGTTGATTAAAATTACATCTCTGGGGCAAAATACATTACAAGAAGGTATTTTATACTGCAAATGGGCATACATTGTGTACTGGCAGATATTATAAAAAATCATCTTCACTTAAATCTGTATAAGCTAAATTTTATACTGTAATATAGTACAAATAATACAGTAAAAAATAAGCTTTAAGGCTAAATCTGAGCCCTGGTCTACATGGGTGGGGGGGGGCAGGGGCGGGAATCGATGTAAGGTATGCAGCTTCAGCTACGAGAATAGCGTAACTGAAGTTGATGTACCTAGATCGACTTACCTCGGTGTGTTCATGCCTGTGAATCGACTGCTGCCACTCCCCCGTCGACTCCGCTTGTGCCTCTTGCGGCACTGGAGTTCCGAAGTCGACGGGAGAGAGCTCGGGGATCGATTTATCACATCTAGACTAGACGCAATAAATCAACCCCCGATACATCAATCGCTATCTGCCGATCCGGTGGGTAGTGTAGACCTACCCTGATACTTTCTCTATTTCAAACATATAAACTAAATTAATACAGTACATGGTAAAGAAAAGAATTAACTAAAAGGGAAAATAAGCAATGAATGAATGACTAACAGTTTAAGGGATTTCCCTTTATAACTGCAGTCTGAGGATAAAACAATTTTAAAAGAATCACCCTCACTAAAAAAAAAAATTCAGTCTGTGTAAATTGAAATAAAATCTGAGCTGACTTGTTAGAAAGGTGTCCCTTTGGTTGATCTTGGGTATGTCTCTTCCTCATAATATAAGGAAGATGGTAAAATTGTTTGTGAATGCTTTGTTTTCTCGAATACGGATTACTTAGTTATAACTCCAAATAGCAGTAAAGATTTGGGGCGAAAAAAGTATAGTGGATGTGTAACAATTAGAACTGTAGATTTAATCACAGTTAACTCAAAAAAATTAATCGCAATTAAAAAAAATTAGTTGCAATTAATCGCACTGTTAAACAATAGAATACCAATTGAAATTTATTAAATATTTTTCTACATTTTCAAATATATTGATTTCAGTTACACCACAGAATACAAAGTGTACAATGCCCACTTTATATTATTTTTTATTACAAATACTTGCATTGTAAAAATGAAACAAAAGAAATAGTATTTTTCAATTCACCTCATACAAGTACTGTAGTGCAATCTCTTTATCATGAAAGTGCAACTTACAAATGTAGGGGGTTTTGTTACATAACTGCACCCAGAAACAAAACAATGTAAAACTCTAGAGCCTACAAGTCCACCTAGTCCCACTTCTTGTTCAGCCAATTGCTAAGAGAAAAAAGTTTGTTTACATTTATGGGAGATAATGCTGCCCACTTCTTAATTACAATGTTACCTGAAAGTGAGAACACGCGTTCGCATGGTACTGTTATAGCTGGCATCGCAAGATATTTACATGCCAGATGCGCTAAAGATTCATATGCCTCTTCATGCTCTAGCTGTCGTTCCAGAGGACATGCTTCCATGTTGATGATGCTTGTTTTTTAAAAAAAAAAAAAAGTGTTAATTAAATTTGTGACTGAACTCCTTGGAGGAGAATTGTATGTCTCCTGCTCCATGGTTTTACCCACATTCTGCCATATATTTCATGTTATATCAGTCTCGGATGATGACCCAGCACACGTTCTTCATTTTAAGAACACTTTCACTGCAAATTTGACAAAATGCAAAGAAGATACCAATGTGAAATTTCTAAATATAGCTACAGCGCTTGACCCAAGATTTAAGAATCTGAAGTGCCTTCCAAAATCTGAGAGGAACGAGGTGTGGAGCATGCTTTCAGAAGTCTTAAGAGCCACACTGATGCGGAACTACAGAATCCAAACCACCAAAAAAGAAAATCAACCTTCTGCTGGTTGCATCTGACTTAGATTGTGAAAATGAACATGCGGCGGTCCACACTGCTTTGGATTGTTATCATGCAAAACCCGTCATCAGCATGGACGCATGTCCTCTGGAATAATGGTTGAAGCATCAAGGGACATATGAATCTTTGGCGCATCTGGCATGTAAATACCTTACAATGCTGGCCAAAACAGTGCCATGCAAACACTTGTTCTTACTTGCAGGTGACATTGTAAACAAGAAGCAGGCAGCATTATCTTCTGCAAATTTAAATGAAGTTGTTTGTCTGAGTGATTGCCTGAACAAGTAGGACTGATTGGACTTGTAGGGTGTAAGTTCAACTTTCATCATAAAGAGATTGCACTACAGTACTTGTATTAGGTGAATTGAAAAATACTATTTTTTGTTTTTTATGGTGCAGATATTTGTAATAAAATACATATAAATTTAGCACTGTACACTTTGTATTCTGTGTTGTAATTGAAATCAATATATTTGTAAATGTCAAAAACATTCACAAATATTTAAATAAATGGTATTCTATTATTAACAGTGTGATTAATCATGATTAATTTTTTTAATTGCTTGACAGCCCTAGTAACAATGTTTTATAAGTACTTCATAGGGTGCTCTGTGTAATATATATTGATCCTAATTTATTACTCATATAGAGTCTTAAAAATGCATGTGTTTTCAAACAAAGTCTAAGTCCTTATCCCAAGGCGCTTATAAAATAGGGTATGATAAAAAATAAGGGTGACTTATTTGGGAGCTGTGGAGAGGGTGGCGTGAAAGGAGTATTCCTTTTTTCTTGAATTTTGAGGGAAAAATAGCGTTTATACAAGTTTTAAAAGAGAAAGCATGTGAAGTGTAAAACTGAGAATTTAAAGTGGAATGTTTGGTTTCTCTGCCAGTTTTAAAATGTAGTGTTCATCTCAGACTAACTCACTAAGAGGGGAGTTGAAACTTCCATTTCTTATTCATATTTTCTTTGTCTTTGTCTTCAAATAATTACCTGTTTCTAAGACCTTAAATCACACAAACTGTCCCTTTAAAAAAAAAGTCCCCCTTGCACTTTCTGAAGCACTTAATTTATACTTCCTTGCATAGAGTATAATCCTCTGTTAATTGTATGTTTATGCCATAATGAAAGGCAAAAGTGGAATATCGATGCACTATTTTAAGCATTTTAGCAACTCTTGTATACTTTCACAAGAACTTATTTTAGAAGTTCTATAGATGAGATTGTAATTTGAAAAATAGTTATAAATATACAGAATGAAACAACACATGAAAGATTAAATCTGGTCTGTCAGAGGTTCCAACTACGTTATGTGAATTAGCTTCTGAAACTAAATTTTTTCCATTGATGTCTTCCCTATAATTTCTAAATCTCACAAGACAATACATGAGTCAGCTGCATTCATTTGAATCACTACCAGAAGATGCAGTGGCACACAGAAAATTGTTGATGCTCAGAAAATAGCCAGTTGGAAGTTTTAGATCCTTTATACTTTTAAGATTGCATAGTCTCTGTTAAAGAAGTTTGTTTTGACTTCAGTCATCAATCAAATGCTGTAATGACGTAAGAGCCCAGATTCTCAACTGAGACCAAGGAATGCCCAGAGCAACTCAGGGAAGAGGTGACTTTAAGATTTTTCTAGATACTTTGATTTTGGGCCAGCTATGTGACAGTGCAGTCCCCTGTAGCAATTTAGAGCAACCGGAGAGTGCTCTAACTTGTATTGGCTGCCAATAACCCCAAGAGGGCACAGTGAAGGCCTGGTTGTGCCCCATACGCTGGTTGCTGGGATTGGTAGGAGCCACTCTGATGGCTCTAAAACACTGGAATTAGTGAGAATCTAAGGGTTTAGAAATGCTGCTTAATGTATTTAATGGAGGGGATTTGTACAGTTGAGATTAAATTATGTTTTTCAGTTATTTTTTGTTTTGTTTTTTTACACAGGTGACTAGCAGCCACTGAAGCAAGGAAAAAAAAAAAACAACAACAAAAGAATAGCCCACAGCTGGAGATCAATCTTCCTCTTCATTTCAGAAAATTAAAAGCCAGCAATTTTGACCATCAGCTGCATAGTAGAAAAAAGGCGTCCTTTGGCAAATGATGTGAAAAAACGTGAAACACTGATTTTTTTCAGATTATTTTTTATTCATTCCACAAGTGCAAGGTTGGACAAAAAGCTAAGTTGTTTAATTATGCATTTTATATAACTGTAATGAGAAAAGGGTCTTCAGGATGTTTTCTCAATTCTTTAAGCACTTTTTACATTTGTGTTAGTATATATGGCCAGTTAAGTGAGGGAACATTTTAAGTGGGAAGAATGCTGCATTGATAAAGCTACCAGGGGATGCAGTTAAAACATCAGGACAGCTATGAAACCTACTTTTCAGTGCACTGAAAATATCATCTGCTTGAAAAACAAATTTAATAGCTGTTCCACAATAGCTAAAATTCAGATAGAGATGCAAGTAAGATCTCTTTAGTTATTCTTCTCACTGCAAAGAAATGTGTTAGTATGAAAAATAAGAACAACAAATGACTGTACAGTCTAATAAGTACCATAACAGTGGAATACATGTATTTAAGAATGTATGTGTTTACAATATGGTACACTTAACATGGCATATTACAGCACCTTTTTAGAAGGTCAGATATAATCTTACACCCTACATTTTAAAAGTAGATTTTCCATGCTCTTTTAAACAGTAATATTTAGGTGAGATGAACGGAGTTAATAGTTATACCATACATACAAACTTGTTATAAGAAGCAATATTTTGTAATTTCATACTTAAAATTATTTTTCTCTGTTAGCTTGACTTGTTCTTGTTTGATTACTGTAAGTAACCTTCTTTACTTTCTTATTTAAGGAGAATGCAGGACTTAAACATATTCACACCAGTTATGAAAGTTATGCTTCTCTGTTAATTGTTAGTATTTCCTTTAGTAGCTACAAAAAATTGTACATCATACCTAACAGCCTGTTTTGCTGAAAACTACACTTATTGCCTGCTGTATGTGTCTCTAAAGGAGGGGAGAGTACAATTTTCAGTACGGTGAGAACTTAAAAAGAAATAATCCTAAACTGAATGACTAATAGCTGCGGGCAGCTAGTTTTATAATGCCAGAGTACTTAAAAGTACATCTTATACAGAGTTATAAGTAATCTTGTACCATGTTAAAGGCTCCATGTAATGTTTGTTAGTTGAGAAATGCTCAAATTCTATGACAGTCTTGACCAGCATTTTATTTGCATTAAAATTTTATGTACTGTTTGAGAGACACGCCACCCCTTTCCTTTTACAAAATTATTTTTGTGTTCAGTATTCATTTTATGAAGGACAAATTACTGTACTCCATTTTCATTTAGAAGCAGATTCATGAATTGCTATTGTTGTGTAATGGAGTACATATTCCTCTTAAACTTTTATAACAGTTCTTCTTAAAATAGTTGTTGGAGCAAGAATATTTACCTTGGCAATAGGTTATAACCAAAATGAACCTCAGATCTTGGAACGTTTAGGCTGTTTTACAATGATTGTCCTGAATAATAAAGATCTGTCATGTTTTGAAAGATAATTTGCCACTCTATACTTGGCATTGATAGGCATTTTTCTTGATTTTTTTTTGCCTTATTTATAATGTTTAGTGAAACATTTTCATTTTCAAAAGGAATGCTTATGAGCAGCATTTTTCAGAAATGATACCAGTTTTTGCTCCAGGTATCAGCTTTTGGGGCAGCATCTTTCTTGGACAGAGCATCAGTTCTATGACACATCCATCATTAGCTTGTCAAGGACCTGACAACCTAAGTTCTTCCCAGTTTATTTCTATGGTTTTACATCTAACTAATAATTTCAAAATGTATCCTGTGTAATCATTTAGCATAGATCATAAATGTAAGTAGTTTGTGTGCCTGTGGTGTACAGGCATCCATATTCCAGATTATATTACACTATAAACTGGGTCCAGTGCATGAATTTTTAGCTGTAGCACAAAACAGAAGTATCTGCAAATTACGATAATATAGTGTGTCAGTGGTTCTCAAACTAGGGCCGTCGCTTGTTCAGGGAAAGTCCCTGGTGGGCCTGGCCGGTTTGTTTACCTGCTGCGTCCGCAGGTTCAGCTGATCGTGGCTCCCACTCTCCGTGGTTCGCCGCTTCAGGCCAGTGGGGGCTGTGGGAAGCGGCGCGGGCCAAGGGATGTGCTGGCCGCCCTTCCTGCAGCTCCTATTGGCCTGGAGCTGCGAACCACGGGCAGTGGGAGCAGTGATTGGCCGAACCTGGGGATGCGGCAGGTAAACAAACAGGCCCGGCCCACTGGGGCTTTCCCTGAACAAGCGGCGGCCCTAGTTTGAGAACCACTGGTGTATGTGAAGCTGAGTGCTAGACCAACAGCAATGGTGGGACATCAAGTATGTCTAGTTTTTCTTGCTGCAAGAAACCAAACTGCAGATTGGACAGTGTGCATAAAACACTGGCAAAACTTTTGAGTTGGGGGGGTGAACAGTGTAATTTGAAAAACAGGAATAATGTTCCTTCCCCTTGACTAAATTTATTATCCACAAATTTATCACTGTACAGGGAGATGTTTAAATAGCTCTGTACCGTGTTGTACTACAGAGTTCTCAGGTTTATCTACATATGATTTGTCAACTTTGCATTGAAAACTTGTTCATGATTAAGAATAAACCTGTCCTTGATACATATATATTTAGTTAAAATATTAGATTCCTGACTGAGTCTGTATACATTGCTTATTCATAGGAATATCATATTTTATGCACATACACACAAAAGATAGCTGCTGTGCTGAGCATAACAGTTTATATCAAATTCAAACTGCAACTTTAAAAGGGAAAGATGGGGTGTGTTATCTACAGCATATTAAAAATCAGATTTTAATCTAAAGTAGTTACTGGATGTCACAGTTTCAAACAGTTATTCAATTTAATAGCCATTTACAATTCCATGCATAAAAATACTCCTAGTGCTTTTAGATAATGATTTATACTGGTATTGCAAAAGAAGTTATATGGGGAAAGTCCAATTACTTTCACAAGAGTTAGAGAAATTATGACAATCCTTGCTAGTCTGGCACATCTGTGACTGACAGTAAGTTTATTGAATAGCTCTGCACTTGAGATACCATGGCAAACATCACTATGGGGATAGCATTAATACTTACATGTGTACAAGAGGAAAAAAAGTTTTCACATAAAAAGATCACTAGAGATTTTCAGTATTTGCTCTTCATGGATGCACTACATCATTTCGCTGCATTGTTCTTTTTCTAGCCACTGATCTCCAACAATTTCTCATCTTTTGCGCATTCTACATTCCAGGAAAACTTGCTTGTTTATTCAAAATAGAGCAGTTTGGTAGTGAAATGGTTCACTGAGGTAAGAATTGGAATTTCCCAATCTGAAATACATATAAATTCAGGAAGCATGAGTATATACTGTACTTTGGGGACTGAGAATTTATCAGTGAGAAAAAAGAATTAAAATGGTTTATTTCTATTAGAGCAACCAAAAATGAAAAGTAAACAATAGTCTTTTGATCAGGAATTGGTTTAGCATTTATTTGAATTTCTGTACCTCCCTCACTGTGGTCCCAAAATCCATTAAAAATGACTAACATTCTTATTTTATTCACTTTTGCATATTATGTTTGCATATTTTGAGTGGGATTTAGTTTTTAAGCATAGATGAAAGTTTTGTTTCTCTTTTAAATGTTACTTTTAAGATTTCTTTAAAAAGTTTAGCAGCCTGTATTCTACAACACGTAGCTGTAAAATAAGTAAACTTGATCCGATATTGTGGTGTTCAATGGCTGCATCAGGGACTTTGGGTTCAATAGACTTCATCAGATTCTTTGTAAAGAATCACTTTGCCTTTCAGCATTATGTTCTCTAAAGTCAAAAATCTTCAAACTATGAGCGGTTCTTTATTGAAATGCAACCAATTGAGACGAGGAAGCAGAAACTTCCATTAGTTAATGTTCTCTTTTATTCCCTTCGTTGCACTGAATTTAAAGACTGTAACTGTAAATTAAGGTTACTTGCAGTTTAAGCAGCTGTTTTCATTGTAATACTTATGTACTTACTTTACCTGTGTTATTTCTGGTAATGATCCCGTAAGCATGAGGCAAGATACTGTGTATAATGTTAGAGAATCGATATGCTACAGCCAAGCAAGGCTTATTGTAAAGAGAAGCAGTAAGAGCTGGAAGTATCTTACTGAGAGAGCATGTTGCATTTGCTGAATGCTATTGGAGTATATAGGAAAGTAGGTTCATTCTAAAAAGTGCTCTTTGGTATAGTGAAGCACATTGACCTGTCTTGCTAGCTAATGCTGTGTAAAATACAGCAGTGGCTGTTTTTATCCTATAAATATACTGTAATTTAAAATTTTCCTACAAAATGAATTTATATTTAATTGCTGCCTAAAACATCATGTATTAAAGGTTAGAATTTTTAGGAGGGGGCTGGGTATGCCAGTGTATTTTGGGAAGAGGGGGGTGTTGTTGTGTATATTATTCTTTGCACTGCCCATTCAGTTACGACTTCGTCCAAAATTCCTGGCTTTGACCATGGGGTGAATCTGCAACTTGGGATTTACATAACTTTAGTGTAATTCATATCTTCTAAAACCTGTGTCCTTGGGCCTTATAATATTACCAAAATGGTCTTCCTTCCCTTCCCCTCTGTGGATTCTCAGATATCTTTAAATATGGACCATGACCAATTTGTGACTTTATTGGACCTATAATTATGTGAATGAGGAAAGACTGCCTACAGCTGATAGAAAAGACCACGCTGGGGGTGTCTGTTAAAAGAAAAACCTTGACTGGGCACATATTGCTCGTTTATTATCTCAGCGGGTAGGGTCCCAACTAATATGAAGCACAGCATCAAGTTTTTAAATAATTCATCATGGCTTTTATTCAAGTTGTGCTTGGTAATTCAAAGGTTCCACAGTAATTAATTAACCGGTAGAGTTGCTTGATTTTCAAGTCTTCACATCCATTGGAAGATACTTTTCACCCTCATGAATTGTGGAGAGGTATGTGATTAGAGACAGACTCACTGTGACCTCTCCATACATGTTTCTGTGGTTGCTGCCTACTTTACAAGTTATCTTATGTATTTTTAAGTGCAGAGCCACAAAGTTAGTGACATTCAGAAAGCTGCAGATTTGTATGAATAAAGGGTTAATAAAACTGACACTTTCTAACTTTGGTTGAATAAATCAGAAATAATCAAATGGAAAACTGATTCACCATCCACTAGCTTTGTGCAATATTATGAATAGAATCAAACACTAGCACATTGTGCTTGGCTTTAAGAAAGTCTTTAACACAATTATATTTAAATGGACATTTTAAATGCACATTGTATTATAAAACTACTCCTGCAAATTTACAATACCTAATAATGCTCAATGTTCTAAAGTATTAAGCAACAAGTGTAAAAAATAAAAACTAAGTGAGCATTTCTAGCAATACCTGAAAACTAAAAAGAAAAAAAATATTGGTTTGACTGTTTGCCTTTTGCTTTCTTTCTTTAGTACAGCTTTTCTGTAATTATTATTATTCTGTGTATTTCATGTTTTTACTATCATGACTTCAAAGTTAAACCTGTACACAAAGTACCAAATCACCTTTTTCTTGTACATGCGATGTAACAACATACTCACAGTTTTGGTGCTTAAAAATGATTTTTTTCTTTAATAAAGGATATTTATTTGAACACTTGTTTGATCTGAGATTTATCTCCTCCACTTTTTAAAACAATCAACGCCATTTAGTTCCCAAGATGATACTTATTTTTATGAAACATTATCCTTCCATTTCTATAGCATTCTTAACTGCTGATGGCAAAATTTAACACTTAGAAGTGCCTAACTTCAGCACAGGTGTATGTCAGGCTGCTGAAATGCTAAATTCCTGAGTGTTTGTATTATCACTACACTGTTGCATCAGTGGATAATTATTAATGGTTGGTAAAAAGACACTGAAAAATTCTGCATTTATTTATGCATCCCTTTATGGAACTAGGTAGCATCTACATCTTATTGTGGAACCAGAACAAGCCTCCAACTGCAATTTACTTGGTTTAAAAAGACCTGAGTTAGAATTAAAATAGACTCAAATACAAAAATGAGTGTTTAGGATTTCTATACAGTTTGCCTTTGCTTATTGGAATACGTACAATATAATCTTCCAGAAACAACTAAGAGACCAGATAAGTCTGTATTATATGAGTATGGACTGCCTACCTATCTCTGTCTTTGCTATTCCCTTATATTATTACAAAAAATAAATCTGCATTAAAAGGGTGTTATACAGATTGCAAGGTCAAGCACTCAAATGTTAGGAAATTCCCATTCAGCCTTCTTTTGTGTATATGTTTGGATTGTCTGATCATATTTCATCCATAGTATCCATGCCTAATTTCCAGTGATTGTTGATGTGTGGACCTGTGCTTACATTAGAATGAAATTTGTGGTTTTGGCATGATTCAAAATGTTGCTGACAATGCAAGTGCCAGATGGAAAAGGTGATGGCTAACAGTTTGTGTCACCCAAACCTGAACAGAATTCCATGGGACAAAGAAAAGGCCGAAGGATCTTCTCCCTGCCCAATTTTGCAAGCAACAGTAGTATGAGTACTTAGGTATCGTATAATGGAAAGTGTCAGGCAGCCTAAATATAAGGCTGGTTACCAGCTGCTATAGTACTGTATGTACAAAATGCTTTTATAGTTGTTTTGAAAAGATTCACCCATTTGTTTTCTGGGGGCAAGGCAGGAGGGGAAGTAGTTTAGCTAGGAACCAGAAATAGGTACTGGGGTGAAATTTCCAAAGAGAAACTATTACCTTTTGTGTCAACTGGCTGATTTAAGTACCTCCACAAAATGGCCATAAAGATAATTTCTGTGTATCTATCTTACAAAAATATTAAGTTACTACATTACTGAATATGGCCATATACCATTTACTTATATACTGAGCCATTTTTCCTTATATTTCTGTTTGATATTTAGGATCTACACCCATGTAAATCCACTTGCAGGAATCTGCTATTAAATTGTTAGCTTGTGGGGGCAGGGACTCTGCCTTTTTATATGTGCAAAATGCATAGCAGATTGTTGTTGGAAGCACCACAAAGATTGCTCAATTATTCCCACATTAAAAAAAGTGCACTACGGTTACATTGGATGTGCAGTTATGCTTTGCAAAGTGTCTTTGTACAAAATATGGTATTCTTGAGTTCCTCCGCTGTCTCAACTTTCTAAATTAGCCGAGTTTACACTGAGATTTTGGAGGGCATGTCTGGTACTGTGGATTGTGCCTGGGATTTACTCAACGGTTGCAATCATCTCGGTATCATTTTTTGTGACTGATGTCCATCTGGACCACTCTTTTAACCTTGGGATACATCTCTACCTGCTTGTCCCTGACTGCTGCAACAATGTACTTACTCTTTCCTGGCATTTTGTACTTACTCCTTAGGTTCCACTGACTTTTCAGGCCATTCCATGTGATGAATCAGCAGTTGAGAGCAGCATGGGTGGAGACTGCAGGGTCTCTTCTGGCATAGGTTTGAGTGGATGAGCAGCTCCTCTGTGCACACTTTCATCTTAATTGATATGTCCCTATCTCAGCAGTGTATTTTTAATGTGTACAACAGAACCACTGCACCCTAGGAACTGAGCTACTCCTTGCAAGTTAGATTGTGTGAATTAGTGAATAGATCAACAAGCATACTAAGAAATGAAATGATTATTACCAAATGTAAGGTCACTACTGTACTAGAGATATGCTAGATATAAAGGATAACTACTCACTAGAAAGCCACTGTCACAATCCTCTTTCCAGTCCTATAGGAATAAAGCATTACATCAGGCTGTTATCTCCACCAAAGGGGGACGTAGGTTAGCCACCTTCACAGCAGAAAATGAAAGAAGGGAAGGAAGTTTTATGCAAAACCAACCCACTGAGGGTTCCTTTTCCCATTGCTCCTCTTCCTGTTATTCATCTTGGAGAAAACCTATTATGTTACACCTAGTGCCACAGCAAAAGGAAAGCCTCTGTGAAACAAAATTTTTGAGGACACTTCCATACACACAAACTGGAAACATTTGAACTGATCATGTGGTTGCGCTGCAGTTCCTGTCCACTAAAGCTTCAGCTTTCTGCTTACAATACACTTGTTTCTCTGCTCAGCACAATGCTCTAAGAGGGCAAGCTTCTGTCCACTTTTCTATGGTGGAGGACTGCAGGTAAAATGTGTTTTTGGTTGCTGAGATGCCTTCCTGTCCTCCTCTCACACCTAGATTCTCATTGAATCCTGTCTCATTTTCTACAACTTGTCCAATTCTGCATCACCTTTTCCATCCCAACTGCTAACACTCTCCTCCACACCTTTAAAAAGAAAAGGAGTACTTGTGGCACCTTAGAGACTAACAAATTTATTTGAGCATAAACTTTCATGAGCTACAGCTCACTTCATCAGATGCATGGTGTCCCCTGAATAGATATGTGGACACAGTTGGCAACTGTTCAAGGGCTTTGTTGCAAGGATAGGTTCCTGGGTTTGTGTGTTTGGTGTGTGGCTGCTGGTGAGTATTTGCTTCAGGTTGGGCGGCTGTCTGTAAGCAAGGACTGGCCTGTCTCCCAAGATCTGTGAGAGTGATGGGTCGTCTTTCAGGATAGGTTGTAGATCCTTGATGATGCATTGGAGAGGTTTTAGTTGGGGGCTGAAGGTGACGGCTAGTGGCGTGCTGTTATTTTCTTTGTTGGGCCTGTCCTGTAGTAGGTAACTTCTGGGTACTCTTCTGGCTCTATCAATCTGTTTCTTCACATCAACAGGTGGGTACTGTAGTTTTAAGAACGCTTGATAGAGATCTTGTAGGTGTTTGTCTCTTTCTGAGGAGTTGGAGCAAATGCGCTTGTATCGTAGAGCTTGGCTGTAGACAATGGATTGTGTGGTGTGGTCTGGATGAAAGCTGGAGGCATGTAGGTAGGAATAGCGGTCAGTAGGTTTCCGGTATAGGGTGGTGTTTATGTGACCATCGCTTATTAGCACCATAGTGTCCAGGAAGTGGATCTCTTGTGTGGAGTGGTCCAGGCTGAGGTTGATGGTGGGATGGAAATTGTTGAAATCATGGTGGAATTCCTCAAGGGCTTCTTTTCCATGAGTCCAGATGAAGATGTCATCAATGTAGCAAGTAGAGCATTAGGGGACAAGAGCTGAGGAAGCGTTGTTCTAAGTCAACCATAAAAATGTTGGCATACTGTGGGGCCATGTGGGTACCCATAGCAGTGCTGCTGGTTTGAAGGTATATATTGTCCCCAAATGTGAAATAGTTATGGGTGAGGACAAAGTCACAAAGTTCAGCCACCAGGTTTGCCGGGATACTATTCCTGACTGCTTGTAGTCCATCTGTGTGTGGAAGGTCTGTGTAGAGGGCTTCTACATCCATAGTGGGTAGGATGGTGTTTTCAGGAAGATCACTGATGGATTGTAGTTTCCTCAGGAAGTCAGTGGTGTCTCGAAGGTAGCTGGGAGTGCTGGTAGCGTAGGGCCTGAGGAGGGAGTCTACATAGCCAGACAATCCTCCTGTCAGGGTGCCAATGCCTGAGATGATGGGGCTTCCAGGATTTCCAGGTTTATGGATCTTGGATAGCAGATAGAATACCCCTGGTCGGGGATCTAGGGGTGTGTCTGTGCGGATTTGTTCTTGTGCTTTTTCAGAGAGTTTCTTGAGCAGATGGTGTAGTTTCTTTTGGTAACCCTTAGTGGGATCAGAGGGTAATAGCTTGTAGAAAGTGGTGTTGGAGAGCTGCCTAGCAGCCTCTTGTTCATATTCCGATTCATGACGACAGCACCTCCTTTGTCAGCCTTTTTGATTATGATGTCAGAGTTGTTTCTGAGGCTGTAGGTGGCATTGTGTTCTGCACGGCTGAGGTTATGGGGCAAGTGATGCTGCTTTTCCACAGTTTCAGCCTGTGCACGTTGTGGAAGCACTCTATGTAGAAGTCCAGTCTGTTTCGATCTTCAGGAGTCCACCCAGAATCCTTCTTTTTGTAGTGTTGGTAGGAAGGTGTCTGAGTTAGTATGTTGTTCAGAGGTGTGTTGGAAATATTCCTTGAGTCGGAGATGTCAAAAATAGGATTCTAGGTCACCACAGAACTGTGTCATGTTCGTGGGGGTGGAGGGCAGAAGGAGAGGCCCTGAGATAGGACAGATTCTTCTGCTGGGCTAAGAGTATAGCTGGATCGATTTAACAATATTGATGAGTGGGTTAAGGGAACCACTGTTGTGGCCCCTTGTGGCATGTAGTAGTTTAGTGTCCTTTTTCTTTTGTAGAGAAGCAAAGTGTGCGTTGTAAATGGCTTGTCTAGTTTTTGTAAAGTCCAGCCACGAGGAAGTTTGTGTGGAAGGTTGTTTTTTGTATGAGAGTGTCCATTTTTGAGAGCTCATTGTTAATCTTTCCCTGTTTGCTGTTGAGGATGTTGATCAGGTGTTTCCGCAGTTTCTTTGAGAGCGTGTGGCACAAGCTGTCAGCATAGTCTGTGTGGTATGTAATTGTAATGGATTTTTTACCTTCAGTCCTTTTGGTACTCCTGCTAGTAATAGCTCACCTTGCCTGATCACTCTTGTTATAGTCTGTATGGTAACTCCCATTGTTTCATGTCCTCTGTGTGTATAAAATCTCCCCACTTTATTTTCCACTGCATGCATC